TGCAGCCAGTCGGCAGGTGGGCTCTTTCGAACATAAAGGTGGCTTGTTTTCCGCTTGCTTGGACGAACCCATGGAGCTCCTCCATGTGTAACCTTCCGCTCGTCTTATAGGCTTGTGCGGCTTCTCGGCTGTTTGTCGCTGCACAGTGGCTTGGCATTTCTTACGAAACATCAACACCCTTCATATCTCTATGATGCCTTTTTCCCTCTAAACCTCTCTCTCGGATTGTGTGTGATCAGTGTGCAGCATGTGTTGTCTCCACTGATATCTTGCTCACTGGTCGCTTGCCGTGCTGACACCGGTCAGTAAAATGCAAATTCAACATGCGGCTGATCGTGGCCGTAAGTTTGTATGGCGCAGTCGAAAGGTGATCGCGAGTTATCCTAGGCCCATTATGACTGTCTTGGTCGGGCACTTCTTTTTGATTCCGTAAAACATCTTGTTAATTCAGCACTCCGTCGCCCTACAGATCTGTAACTGGAAACTGGAATCCTCCAGCTGCATCCTGAATAAACATTTCGCATCGTTTTATCAGCTAACACAAATCAGCCAACTGTGTGCTATCCTCACCATTTCAGTTCCTCCTATATCACTACTCTGCTCTTGTCATTCGGCAGGTTGTCTTCGGTTTCATCACACGCACTACTACTCTATCCAACTCATCTTGAATACAGTTTCTTACGTCCGGTTTTTCGGCGACCATGCACTATGTTAGATCATTCAATCGCTCTCACTGCACTCCGTTGGAGTTCGTGTGCGTTGTGTTTCTGGATCACGCACACTGAGCATTGCCATCTTATGTCTGCACTCAGCTGCCTCGGATTCCGGAGAAGAAGCAGAAGAATGCGCACTTAATCCTTGCGTTCGCGCTGAACCCACGGTACACCATCTTTATGCTATCTCTCCAGGCACACGTGCGTCACTTGAAAAACCGCACAAGTGGAATTACGTTGCCACCGGTGGTCAATTTTTGCCGAGAGTGTTGTGCTGCCTGCTACAAAGGTTGCTTAGCGCTTCTTCAAAATCTGTGCCACCGACTGGGGCTATTAGGCATCAGCTTGTCAGTTAGCGTCCGGTCATCCAGTCTGATCCACAGTATTTTCAACAGAGTTAATTTCAGCGTATCGAAACCACCAGATAACTACTCTCCTTTAACCCTCTGCACTAGCGCAACATCACAAATATCTGGTGGGTACGCCGAGCGAGTTACACTGAAGCCTGTCAATTGCGTTCGTTGGTAAGTCCTAGCACGTTGTGCTACCCTTGGTACTCGATTCACGCTGTTGTTTTACCCGCTCATCAATCATCGCATCAAATGCTGATTGCTTGACTGCACATGACTGGTGGACTTCGAGAATGCCTTGTGATGATATTGCGAGGTGTGTGGGCTCAGTCGTTATGTTTAGGCCCACGGATTTGGCCAGCTCAACACCCATCAGCCTTTTATAGCTGGGACAGTCGAACTCTAATGGAGTTCTCTACCTTTTATCTGCAGTTCTTAGTTCCATACTCGCGTATCTTACGGGTTTTTACCACCTTTGCACTTTTGTCCTTGTGGAGTTGCGTTATCACCGACTTTATTGACATGAAGATGCGAGATGTTACTTTCTAGACCATCACACTCAAATGCTCGGGTTGCAGTTTACAAGCTCTAAGTCAATGCCCTTACCTAACGGTGACGGCTTCACTAACCTTTTTCCCTACTTCTCACTTGACAACACAGTAAGCACTAAACAGATTAGCGAATTAGTAGAGTGCTTCATGCTTTTGCTAAGAAATGTGAATCACGTCAAAACTATGCTAACTCTCCCCTTCTCTACAGTGCTCCGATCGAAATGAATATGAAGACCTGTCTCCTTCCAGTTCTCCTTGAGTAGCGTCCTGTCAGGTGATCGACTCTCAAACTTGGAACACACTGACGACACAACTCTCTTGGGGTCAGACCCAAATGCTATGAACGTGCCAATGAATAGGTTGACGCGTAGCGTCGCAAGCTCTGATATGCTTCTTACAGTTCCAGAACGCAAAGTGCTGTTGCGAGATTTGGCCGATTCACTTTCACTTCGCACTAACACGAACTAACCGCTTAAAGGGGATGATTTGTTTGCTTGTTTAGGTAACTGCAACACTAGAAGTTATCTTATGCATTGGTGGTAGCGTGCTGCTGGATTGCTGATTAAGGGCAGAGTTTACTACGTTATGATTTGACTGATGTTACTTTGCTTGATAAATTCCCGGCCATTGCATGCGAGGGATAATAAGAGCTTCACCGTGTTTGTTGATTTCTGATAGAAGAACCGGATGAGTAACCCCGAACTTTGTCATCTGATATTCGGCAACGGTGGCGTCGCCGCATAGTAGGGAGTGACCTCGTGCCACTTGTTTAGCTTGTGGTGGTTGCCTTGATCTGTTTCATACAAGAATCGCGTGGTTCCTATTGTATCCGTTTAATTTTGGTACTCGCTTATGCAAAATTATTTGAGCGTGCGGTAAATTATAGCATCTATCACGCAAGTTAGCCAGATTCACTGTCCAACAGCTTCCTTTTTTTACAAAGGACTAGTAGGATGAGTTGAATGGTATAGGTGGAACTTCATCACATCTAAACCCAACCAGACAACAATCACGCCCCCGGAAAAGCACTGTGCGGTCGTTTCATCCTTTCGGAGATTCTTAGCATTGCTCATGCTATCTGATCCCTTTTGGGCTCGAACCTGCAACTTGGCTGTTGACAGTCTGTGGTTGAAACCACTGAACTGCGAAGGACGGCAACGACCATTGGGACTAAGTCACTAGATGTGATATAGCGCCGCATGGCAGTAACGTGCAAGTCATTAGATAGTGAGCGTCGTTATGTAGCTTATAGCAACCTAGTCATGATGGCCTATACCGTCCTCCGTAGCTCAGTGTTCTCAACCACAGACCGGTAACAGTCGAGTTGCGGGTTCGAGCCCCACAGGAGTCAGATGAAGTGCGCACCGATTACGGTTCCTGAAAGAATGCAAATGCTGTACAATGCCTTTCCGGGCGTGTGGTGGCTGTCTGATTGAGTCTAGATGCGATGAATTTCTACCTATACCATTCAACTTATGCTACTACTCCCTTTTAATCAGCACGCAGACCAAACTACATAGAATATCTTAAGTTCATTTGCGGCTTAAGTTTGGTAAGTTCATGGCTTCCTTTTTGTTAAACGAACTGTTCGGTGCACTTGGCAATTTTGTTGCAAACGTTTCGTCACCAGTCGTGGTGACCTCATCAGTGCGTAGCGTAGGGTAGCGATGCGTCAGTAACTGTGAACCGGGTAGTCACGTGCGTGCATTGGTCGTTTGACCATGTGACGTTTGAAATTGGCCTCTTCGATACATGCCTTTTAATCATGGCCGTTTGTTTCCGCAGCTGAAAATGCTGTCTACACTGTTTGCACGGTGTCCTTTTCCACTAAGGCCATTCGACTGAGGTAGTGATCCTTTGCTCCTAAATGACATTCAACTTAACGTGCCGATTAATTGAATTCTTCGTGGAGTGCCATGCTTCTAGCAATTTTCTTGCCTGCTTCGTATTCCCACGTGTTAGAATCTGCGTTTTCCGTGTCAAATTGATGACCTGTTTCATCCTCGTGTATCAAAACCCATGAATACGGATCATCTCTTCGTATGACCTTATGCTCTGTGATCCGTGTGGAAAGCTTTCTTCCTGTTTGTACGATGTAGTGCTTATCACAATCGCTGCAGTTTATCTGGTAGATTAGATGGGTTTGACTGTCTCGTTTAATTTCGTCCCTCGGTCTTGAAAGCAACCTTCTCAGGTGGCACATGGTTTGTGTGCTACGGTGACTGTGTGGTCGAAGTAATATCGCTGCTAGTTAAGAAACGTTCTTGATGTGGGGAAACAATACTCGCTTGTTTGTCTGTTCTGGCCGCTGCTGTGTCCTCCAATTCAGGATTCTTCTAACAATGTTTCGTGGAGATCCGTTGTTTCGTGACACGCGGTGTAGATGGTCCTCATTCTTTCTCAGTTCCACTCTACTGCATCGTGTTTCCGCTCTCCCGCATAGAGTTTGGATGCAGTTCGTTTTGGAGTTACTGTGCCTTCTTCCTATCTACATAGGTTTGTTGTCTTATTGCAATTCATTGGTGAATGTGTTGTTAATCAACTCGTGCGTACGCTGTACTGAATTTCGTTATGACAAATGTATAGTCATTGTACCGGATCCAAAGCTTTGGGTTGATCAGTGGAATGGTAATGCGCTCCAGTTTTTGCATTACAGCTTCAGCAATGAGCGCTGACATGGGTGACCTCAGGGGCATTTCTTTAAGTTATTGAAATCTTTTCTCACCAAAGGAGAGATAAGTAGCCAGGCATAAGTCCAACAGTTCCAACACACTTTTCAGTTTCATGTTTCCTATCATGCTCAATTGATTCCGGAATAATTCCATCATGCTGTCCTTGGCAAATTCGGGGTTGAGCGATGTGGATAGCAGTTGTATCAAATGACGACATAATTTCCTCGTCCTTTATCTTATCAACCGGTAGTTTGTGAAGGAACAGTTTATCATTATTTATGCTTTGCTCAGACCCGGCGATTAGAGATTTCGATTCCCTTCAAAAGCTCTTTGCTAGCTTGTATGACGAGGTTGCTAGTAGCTCAACGTTTGATTGAAGTGGGACTCTCTCTCTGTGTACCTTCGGTTGCAATTGGGCAATATTACTATCGTCGGCTTTCATCTTCCATCGCACTTGGTTGGTGATTTCATTTCTTGCTTGCAGTCTCTTCAGAGTTGTGTTGATTCGGGCGAATAATTTTGAGCTGGGGTCCTGATCGATGTGACGATAACTAGTCGTGTCGAATAGGAGTTGTTTGGCTTTTCAATGTAAGCGGATTTATCCAATGCCACAAAGAGAAGAAAATGTCATAATCTTTCCAACGCACAAAAGATATTCCCCACTGAATTGCAATAAGACAACAAACTATCATTCCTGAATGCTTTTGTCCACAGGGACACTGACGGAACATTTCAAACCTATGTAGATAGAAAGAAGGCATAAACGGATGGAATAGTGAACTACCACAGTAACTCCAAAACGAACTGCATCCAAACTCTATCCGGGAGAGCGGAAACACGATGCAGTAGAGTGGAATTGAGAAAGAATGAGGACCATCTACACCGCGTGTCACGAAACAACGGATCTCCACGAAACATTGTTAGAAGAATCCTGAAGTGGAGGACACAGCAGCGGCCAGAACAGACAAACAAGCGAGTATTGTTTCCCCACATCAAGAACGTTTCTTAACTAGCAGCGATATTACTTCGACCACACAGTCACCGTAGCACACAAACCATGTGCCACCTGAGAAGGTTGCTTTCAAGACCGAGGGACGAAATTAAACGAGACAGTCAAACCCATCTAATCTACCAGATAAACTGCAGCGATTGTGATAAGCACTACATCGTACAAACAGGAAGAAAGCTTTCCACACGGATCACAGAGCATAAGGTCATAAGAAGAGATGATCCGTATTCATGGGTTTTGATACACGAGGATGAAACAGGTCATCAATTTGACACGGAAAACGTAAGTATTCTAATACTTGAGATCGCGAAGTATGGCAGTCCACGAAAAATTTAATCCATCGGCACGTTGTGTTGGACACTATCTACACATTCTTGTAAGTCTTTCCCTTAGCCTTCACATCACCTCCCTAGTTTGCAGTGGCTTCAGGAAACTCCGCTGATTTGGCCAATGCATGCGCTAACTTCCGGGACGCAGTTGCCTAAATAAGCAAACCGATCGACCATATCAATCAGTTACTTGGTGTTAATGCGAACTGGGAGTGAGTCGGCAAAATCTCGTAACAGCACTTTGCGTTTCGGAGGTGCAAGATGCAACGCCACGCGTCAACCTGTTCAATTTTCTTGTCGTAGCATTTAAGTGTAACCCCGCGAGAGCTGTGTCGTCGGTGTGTCACAAGTTTGGCAGTCAATCAGTCCACCTATTTAAACTAGACACCGTAGCTTCAGCGCACTCTATTTTTGTGGGAAAACGCTGTGTGACTTCCCACAGGTCTTTACACTGTCCTGAGTTTGGGGAAAGCGAACCTTTTCAAAGCATCCAAAAATGCCAGGTATTGTCACAAACAGCAGCGTCCAGCCTATCTTGTGGTGTAGGCTTAGCCATGGTCGGTTAGTTTAGAGCAGGGGTTCTTAACCTGGGGGTAATTACCCCGAAGGGGTAAAATGGCATTTTACGGGGATGTAAATATTAGTACGAGGATTGGGTCATCAACCAGCCGCAAAACAAGCTTACTTACAAAATCGTCTGCATCAAAACATTCGCTAACCACCTATGCACTTTTGATTGACGTTCAGTTACAAGTCATTAGTCCGTGCAACGATACCTTTACCGAGTCAACTGAATCCATAACCGAACAGGACCCACCTTAAGCAAATCAAGTCCCCCCATAAGAATATACAACTCAAGCCATAAGCATATCAACTTGAATCCTATTTGCTGCAACGCAAAAATGCATGCCCATCGTCATGAGCAGTTGCAATTCAGCGAACGAGTACTCAGAATACCTGCATCGGTTGGTGCAGCGGTTAGGCTTTGCGCTCACCTAACGAACCACGTGATGCACGTGAGCTCAGTCACAGTAGAGGGCGGTGCGGGCTAGCACGCGGCATCCATAGATGGTTGAGGAAGTACTTTAACTCCCACCCACTCACTTATGCGGCATGAAGACGCACAACACAGAACTGGGGGGGGGGGGGGCGGAGATTCTCCATCCGCGGTCATAGTGCTCACTGTTGCGCGCAGGCGACCGGACTTAACGTGTGCTCCACAATGAGACAGTATCGATTGCCTTCACTGAAGCTAGCTGCATGCAAGCTAGCAAACATGTCCATCAACCTCAGATGGAGTGACCTATGCTTAGCGGTGTCTACGTGTGATCGGGTGTGGATAATAGTGCCTAGGTGAAATAATCAAAGCGTGCGGTGCTTCACTACGCGCTATCAGGGAACAATACGTTAGTTATCGGTGGGTGTGGCTGAATCACCTGTTAACTGAAGTTGATCGGCTTTAATGATGAGGTTAGCATCAGCATCTTTGCGGAAGGGTACCGCGTTAACTGTGATAAGGTTACCGGGTTGGCAACAGCTTGCATTTGCTGGTCTATATGCAATCGTTAGTATATTGAAGCCGTTGACAGGGTGAACGATTGCGTTTGTAAAGAAGTTCGTGTGAAACGATGGTCTATGTTAACGTCAGCACACTCCTCACCAAGGTGCCAAAATGCGACGCACTGGATATAGTGAAACGCTGTTTGACTGAAGAGATTAAACTGGGGAGTGGCCGAAGTTTAAGGTGGTTGAAACAACCGAGAGTAAGACATTGCGCCGTATATTGTTCTAGCTCGGGTTTCAGTCGGAAGTGGGCACTCAGGAATAATTGGCTTTTGAAAGTTTGGGTGGTAACTACTTATAGTGAACCCGCTTTGGGGGTAACTACCTCAAAATGGTTGGGAACCACTGGTTTAGAAGCTCCATCGGCGGCTGGGATTCGAAACACGATCTCAACCCTCAATCGGTTTCTAGCTGCTGATCGGGATTCCTTGGAGCCAGCACTTTTAAAGCATGATGATGAGGTCTACTGCAAAGCTGTTCATACAGGTCGGAAAGGAAGAGTCCATCTCAGCTAACGGGAGGGAATCAATCAATCAACCCTAAGCACTAACCACTTGGGTATTAGGCTAACACCTATGATGACAAAATTACTATATATATATATATATATATATATATATATATATATATATATATATATATATATATATATATATATATATATAAATGGTTGGCGGCATGCCGTTTCGGATTTGCCTGTCACTGTGGCCAGCCACAGGACGCCTGCGCCTACAGGCGCAATATCATTTGCTGATTGCCACAACACATAAGAAAAAAAGGATAGCATGAAAGAGAAAACAACTGTTAGGGTAAAAGAGTCTCATAGCAAGTGCGTCATTGCGTACCGTCCTTGGCCATATCCTCCGGCGTTTGCAACCAGGTGTGCTCGGGGTCCTTTGATCCCCAACCCGGGAGTCGAGAACTCCCGACAACAGCCAGATTCAACGTTTGCGCCTTAGCACATTGGATCCAAGTTTTACATTGTCCTCCTTTTCGTCACTTCCAAGCCACGCCTGGGCTCGCAAATAGGGCTCGTCGTGGTAGCCGCTGGGTAGGCATGCGAAGCACATGGCCAAGCCAGCGAAGCCTGTGCAGTGAGATGATGCTATCACTCCATCGGCGGAGTTCTTTAGATCTGAAGTCTCGCTGACGGATTTCCTCATTACTGACGTGGTGCTGCCATCGAACACCAGCAATGCTTCGAATGCAGCGGTGATCGAAAGCTGGTAGCCGCTGAACATGTGTTTGCGAACGGCCCAAGTCTCACAGTCGTACAGCCGAATCACTCGTACCGTAGCGACAGGTGACGAATGTTAGCGAAAGCGACTCTAGCCTTGGAGACACCCAAAGAGATTTCATCCGTCAAACCGCCAATACTAAGACAAGATTAATGAATTTGTCGACCACTTCCAACGGATGCCCCGAAAGGGTGAGAGAAGCACATGCGCTTGGCCAGTCCTATAATAGGACCTTACATTTAGAAGGAGCAACTCTCAACCCAAATTGGGCGGCGGACACCTCCATTCTGAGCAGCACATGTTGGGCGGCTTGGGAGGACTCGCAGATCACAGCAATGTCATCGGCGTAATCTAAGTCCTTAAGGCGGTCACCAGGGAACACTTCAACACCGCAGGACTCAGAGTTATCCTAGCCTCAATTCTCCTTCGTCGCCTCACTGCGGAAAGCGAACCCAGGATTAGGAAAGCGCAGGCAAATTTGCACCCTTGACTGGGCTGTACAGACCACATAATCACTCTGCGGCAGATGCTAAAGCAGCGCCACCCCTACCGCAGGCTAACAATGGTTGTGTTCCTGAACTTCAGGAGTACGTTCGACCCAGTCAATCGATCCACTCTATTCAAAATACTTCGCGGAACGGTTATCCCATGAAATATATGAACATTTTACATGTCTACTCGAACCCTACAGGCTGCGTCAATGTCTACGTTTAATTATCAGATATCCTTCCGACAACAAGTGACGTCCTTCAGTGTTTTCTATTTTCCCCCTTTTTGTTTAACTTCGTCATGAGCTCCATCATGGACTGTTCCCTTTTGGAATCTCATGATGCAGGCGTTGAGATGCTGACTGGTGGAAAAATAGTTTATCTTGATTGTGCGGACAATGTTGCCTTACTGTCTAACGATGTTGAGGTGGCCTAGTCAACCCCAGATGGCCTCTAGTGTGATCCCATCGTCTAGCATACGCTTTGCACCTTCAAAGTGCAAAGTGTTGTTGCAGGACCACCAGCTGCTTGATGATCCCTGGACTCTTGGTATGCAGCACTCTACGTACTTATTCAATTCACGTATCTTAGCAGCAACGATGGGGGTATAATCACTGAAGTTAACACACTTATTGCAACATCTAAAGCTGCCTTCTTGAATCTGCGACATATGTAGCGTCAGAAATTGCTTACCTTCGGTTTGTAAGGTCGTATGTACACAATCATAGTGTGGGCCGTCCTGCTGTATGGTGTGAAACTTCAGTCAGAGGATCTGTAGCATCTTCAATTCTGGCCATCGTTGGCTGCGAAGCATTGCTGGTGTCGGATAGCAGCAGCATATCTACAAAGATGATGTGCGTGCGCGAGTGCCATGCATTGATAGATGAGTTCTTTAGAACAACAGATGGCACTGAATAAGTTTCCTCGGCTCAGACACGTATGCCCAGTCACCGTTTACCGAGGAGAGCCTTGTTCTGTTTGCCATATGTAAAGTGGCGCAAAACACAAGGTGGACAAAAGTTAATTTGGTAGCGGGAAATTAAGTCACTGACGCCCAAACTGGGTAATGTTGGTCTGTCTGGCCTTTCAGACTGGAATCTATTTGATCCGCCTCGTGCTTAGCTCGAGACGTTACAGGACATTGCTCGCAGTCGTAATTAGTGGCGCATTTGCTGTCGTTTCGTAGTCGGGCTGCCTGTTTAGGGTGTATCTGCAGGGTAATGGTGACAGCTAATGCTGCAGTTCAGATTGGCATTGTTGCTTCACGGATTATGGACGCATGGGACGAGTGTACGCCTTCGAAATGGTGCGCCAAGCTGGAGTAGGAAGAGTGAGCGCGCTGGTGAGCATCGCTAAGGATCGCGGGAAGTGCTTCAGGCCGATCGGCGATCTTGCGCTGATGCATGCCGTATTTGACTAACGGCGATGTGACCACTTAGCGGTCTGTTGTTCGATGGCCACCATGTTGCTCGTGCTGCTACTTTTGGAGTTGGGATCAGAGCAAAGCTGTGGTAAGCGATTACCACTATCATTGCGACCCCCAACGATTCCAAGATGGCTTCTAGTAGGATGCTCTGACTGGTAGGCAATCAACATGAACATTCACGTTTTCAGAAGACGGTCCAGCATTTTCTAGTTGTTGACTCGCACACCACTCATTTCGGTGGCAAAATTTTCAAAACCCATTCCGTCTTTGGAAATATTTGGGTGTTGCTCCTCCCATTTCGGATACGGTCCTCACGATCGGAATGACCGAGGTTTACCTCAAAGTGAACCGAGGTCTCAATAAAGGTTGCGCGTTGCAACCTAACCACACAGTGGGTTCCCCAAATTCAACTTTGAATTCTATTCCGTCTTTGCTTCTGCAACGTTTCGACCTGTTGAAATTTCACTATGATTATGTCGAAGTGATTTATGTGAGTTTGCCATTTTTCCTCTGCTCACTTTTGCTTTTTCTGCGTTCCTAGTACTTTATCCCTTAACCTTTACTGTGGTCCCATGCCCCCTTTGGCCACGCTGCGCATGCTGTCACTTATCTCCCATTCTCTGTCCCTTCAATTACAGCTATCGCTGAGTTACCGACGAATGTCCGAATCGACATGGTCATCGTGGGACACTCGTTTTCTGGTCAACCCGGTGATGTTCCTCCATTGGACCCTCAAATCATTCAGTGGCTGCAGCGTCACAGTGCGCTCAACTGTCTGGTCCACTTGATGCCGCAATGCACCTCGTTCATTGACCAGTATGGATTACGCACTGCCTCCGCCAATTGGGTGGTGGAACTGGGCTTGCCTCGTCTGGTACCCAGCACACATGCGGATTGCATTTTCAATGCTCCTACCACCTCCCATTTGTTGCTCGACGTTGGACTTAGCCGTAATCTGGTTCGCCGGCTTACCAGCGATCTGGAATTGTTGCCTCCCTATGGTTTGTTCGAAGCTGGCTCCGTGTTACCGTTACATTCAACCGTCCCCAGTGGTTCGAATTGAATTGGGTAGCCATGCTACTGCAGCTCGCCCTGTACCGCGTGTAAATTTCGACACTTTTATCGGACGTACATCTCTCCGGCGCCTTCTTCCGCACTCAATCGATCCGACTATATATATCGTTGGCCCTCACAAATCATATTCTTAGGTTTTTGTTTCCTCTTATTCATCCCAAAATATTGTTTATTAGGATTTTGCTTATTCATTCTTGCTTTTTGTTTTGTTTTCCAATCAGGCCCGATCCCCCAACTAATTGTTGTACGCTAGTTCACTCTTTTTCTTCGATAAAAGTATGTCGCGCACAGTATCCGAAGATGTTCTATCAAATAAACCATCATCATACACGTTAGCTAGAGGTAATAAGCAGTACAGCTATTGTGCTGCAATACATAAGGAAACGAAAAACACGATGCAAGCACGCTAGATGAGCCACCAGTAACGGATGGAAGTGGTTCCGGAGAGCTTGCAGCCGGCTATTGTGCCGCAAAACAGTAATGTGAGTTCGTGGTCAGAGAGGACAACTAAGCTGGAGGGAGAGGGACAAATTAATTTACAACACAAACACCACTGAACTCGGATTCTAGACGTCTCAACAAATGCGTCCAGCTATAGGTGTTCATCGTCTTTCTGATCCCAACCAGGGAGCCGGGAGGCTCCAACCGAGGCCAACTTCGAACTAAGAGCTCTCATCCTTATTAACCCATTCATCGCTTGGCCTCTCTATTCTTACATCCCCCGGTCTCGCGAACAACGCATCTCGCGGGACTTGGTGTGCCGACATGTCCAGCCATCGGAGCTTGGTGCGTTGAATAACGATGTGGAGCGGTTTACTTCTCTTGAAACTAGAAAGTAGGCGCCTCTCAAAGCACGATGGGTTGGACTAAGATTTGGAGGGAGATAAAAGTAACGTTGGAACGGGACGATAAGGGTGAAAAAGCGTAACAAGGCGGAAAGCTTTGAGCAGTAACATCCCACTCGATGCAGCGGATAGGGCGCAGTTCATTATCCTCTTCGGCGGCCGGAGCATCAAGATTGCTTGTAGAGAAGTTCATTGTATTGCTTGGGCAGAGAATACTGTCATCTTTTCCAGGTATAAACGTGAGAACAACTAGGGTTCTCAACCAAAGCTTACGCTTCAGAAACCTAATTGCAAGGCAGCGGGTTTGCCAGGGAGCTACCGTGTCCGTTTTATGTAGTAAGGAGCCGTCCTCACCCCAAACTGGAGGACCAAAATGCTGAGTTTGTGTGTTTCCTCTAAGTACTGACCAGTCAGGTATGGGTGACTGAAGATGCAAGAAGCACCACCCGGCACAGCTCAATGGATCGCTGGGGCACGCAAACCATCGCACCAAGGTAAGGTCCAACCTCATTGCAATGATCACAAATAAATAAATAAATTGTATATTCCTCGATGAGGCGAGCTGTTCCCTAGAATTGGCAGGTCAAAACTGTCATCCTCTTCATAATATTACATTATATATGAGAATGAATTTCAACTTTAGGTACCAAGATAATCCGAATGGTTCTGCTGGGTTTTTTCGACTTGTCATTGAACCAGGGTTCGGGCTGGGAAGAAAAGTGAAAGGAAACGACGGATAGGGCTGTGGTCTAAAAAGTTATATGCATGTGCTCATTTAGCCCGGATATACGTTCGTATTTATTCCAGGCGCCATCGATACCGTTCTCGAAAGCTTTATCCAGGGATTGTGATGCCCCAACCTATTAACCACCTTTTGGACGATTAGCTGTCCAGTAATCGCAAGCCTGAGGTTATGCACTGTGCAACATGTTTTGATATCTCCCTAGAGTTTGTTCCAAATCTTTGAGTAGTGGACTAAGAATAAACGTTCTCTGATTCTCGTAGTAAATTTTGTAGTCGTGACCTTTGTTGCGGATCGGGTATGTAATGTTTAAAGGCATGTGAACGCCGTCATCGGAACTGTACATTTGATTGCTTATGACCCTGTATAGAAATTAACTTCAGCCTCATTTTCCGTAACCAGACTGGGTCAAATCCAAGTTTATCGCAACACTCTCGGTATGTCATCTTTGAGGAATAACCACATAGCTCTTTCTTATAGAGTCGCTGACTTCAAGAGCATGCTGGTCAGACTTTCGCATATTCGATTGGACCGGTATTCCACACAAGAAAATCCACATACTTTTTAAAGCCGGGCGCGAGATTCCGTGAGGAAAGAATGCATATGTATCCAATGGTCTTCATAGCCTTCGAAACTTTGAAATCACCAACTTTAGAGAAGTTTAAGATAACAAAATATCGCACGCCCAAGTCGCGAACTGCCCTTGCATTGCGAAATGTATCTGTCTTGCAGTAATAAACTGCCTGTCGGTACTTTACGCTTGTACGACAGAATATCACACTTGTCCATGGCAAATGACATCTGCCACAGTTGGCACCAGGACTCAGGTGCAGATAGATCATCTTGAGTGAAGCATACGGTGGTCTTGGTGCTTGCAAGTTTTTATGCGTGGGCGACTTTAATCTCACCATCAAAAAGAAAAGTAGGACGACTTAATTCTCTTGAATAGATCTTTAACGTATATGAGAAGATGATGTGGTGCTAATCGGGGTGCCCCCACCAAAGTTGTATCACAACTCAGTGAAAAATACCGAATTTCGTATCGGGAACAATTTACTTCGAATCACTTCCTCTTGTCGAGCAATTTTTTTGACGCTAGTTTTACCAGTACTGAGCTACTCACAACATCGATTAGCCATCATTGTCTCTTCAGGTCTAGCTTATGTCATTTGTGTGTCGATCGCGTTCTTTTTAGTGCCTCCAGTATTCGTCCTCTTTTCCTGAGGGTCATCAATCAGTACATGTTCAATCTATTCGGTTGAATGAGCGATTACAGATAAGCGGTCTGATTTCGGTGACAACTTCTTTCTCTACGTTATTACTAATCTTGAGGTATCGCAAATCACGCCGTTGTCCACATTGATGTCGTGCGTTTGAGTGGCTTTATCAAGTGTGTTAATACACATTTAACTCTTCAGTCACAGCACCTGAGTGTATCAACAGACGATTCTGGAACACATTTTCCTTTAGCCGCTCTCCTATTTGCCATACTAACTGCTGTATTTCTCATAGGCGCGTTCGCGATTTTCTGTTCCTGTTCGGCGGGGGCATACACAAGTGCGTGTACTTTAGCCGAAAATGAATCAAGGCCGTGCCGGCTGTTTGTCCTTTTGTTCTCGCCTCCTGCGCACCACCCACTAGTTGTGCTGATGCATCTGCGCGACAACAATCGTGCTTTAAGTGATTAACAATAATTTGTAATACCGGTAGGTCTGGTTGACTGTGGAGGTATTGACCAGTTCTCCGAGCTTGTCGGTTGGGTTGAAAACATTTCACTACCATTTGATGTGGTATCTTCAGCGCATGCTAGTGAATTAGTTGCCAGCAGATTTTAGACGTCTAGCGTATCCGAAGATGAGTGCCGCTGGTTACACGCTAGTCTTTATGTGCATATCAGGCATCGGTAATCCGCGCTTCATTCGGATTGGATATCTGTTGGGGGTATTCATAGGCCAACTGAGTGCCTTTTATAAACTAAAAAACAGTAGCACACGAACAACTGACTAACGTATACAGTACCGAAATTGCGGGAACTATATGGGCCAAACAAGAAGAGTATTGTCTGTGCGACCACAGCGGCTCAAACGAGCCACCGAAAATAATAACTCATCATCTTTACTCCAAGCTCACATTGATGGAGGACCCAAATTTGCCTAGACTAAAACAGAGGTCCTCACGAGCATGTAAACGATAATAAAAAGGCCTGAAGAAGCTTTTGAGCTAAAACCGGAACGCTGTTACAATGCAGCAAATATACAAGAAACCATTACTTCTTTTAGAAAATATAAGCGAGTTCCTTCAACTTTGGTTCTCCAGAAAACATCCGGTGAACCTGTACATTGACCTCTACTCTACATTCCAACAGTTGAGGAAATAAATCCGGTTGAAAACCGCAACCTGAGAATATGCGAGTCAGTGACCGGACAACGGAAGGAATGGTCTGCGTAAGTGCCCTTCATGAACATGCCTATTGCACTAATGGGGATGGCAAGTGTTTCTATATCGCAACAAGCCTCATCTTTCAATGGAAATCGCTCTGATATTCCTGTGTACCCAGAAATGAACAATTGTTAGAGAGATCACGTATGTCAGCCAGACAGACATCACGTGAAAATCGATCGATTTTTGTTCGTCGCAATCAGCCGACAATTCAGATATGTCGACCAGCTGTCCGGAAATGCACCAGACGGCCGTTTCGCCCTATTGGGGCTCATCAGTGGTGCGCATCATTCGGTCTTCTGCGGAGGATCGAACCCATGACTGCTAGTGGCTCTTGCCAACTAGCCCGCAGCTTATGCAACTGCGCCATGGAGGACGGTATCTGACTATCGTGAATTGTTAGCTAAATGCGATATAGCCCGACGCATCCTCCACTGCCATGCAGATGACAGCGGTCGGTCTTGGTATTACTTATGAATGGAAGGATTTTGGTGAGTATTTTTGTTCGTCGCAATTGCAGAGAACCGAAGGATGCGCACCACTGATGAGCCCCAATAGGGCGAAACGGCCGTCTGGTGCTTTTCCGGACAGCTGGTCGACATATCTGAATTGTCGGCTGATTGCGACGAACAAAAATACTCACCAAAATCCTTCCATTCATAAGTAAAATCGATCGATTTCCAGCAAGCGTGTTTGAATGTCAGCTTGCAACTTCACGGCACATGAGAATCGGTTACTTTCGAGCATGCCTGAGTGAACTGGGACCGTGTTTCCGAACACTTGATTGTAACTTCAGCTTGTGCGAACAAACACTGTCAAGCAGTGTCACTTTGGTCTTTTTACCACTCAGCGAGAGTTATAACAATGATTTATTATGGGTGAAAAGCAGATGCTTGACAAGTCCCGTAGGATGATGGGTGAAAAACTAGATCAAAGGATGTGAATCGTCAGTTTAATCGTCTATAGATTTAACCGCATTGCTGCATAACTATAGTTCGAAATGAAAATCGAATGTGCGCACACAAAGCAATATGGGGAGTGTCATACCATAGTGAACGGGTAGGCCAATCGAGCGAGCCAGATAGCCAATGGTCGGCGGTTGTAACTGATTTCAGTACTAGGCATGGAGTAGTCGACATATGAGTTATCATCCTTTGTCTGAGTCAAAGGAAGTACCTCCTTGTCTCAGAAGGATCGTTAGTTATGAACGTGAACGCGTAACTTGTATCGAGGAGTATGGCACAGGCGGTGGAGTACAAAGCGCC